TCCTGTGCTCCGTTGGTACAGAGGCATTCTTCCTCAAGTGGCCTTGGCAGGATTGCTGCCGTTTAATGTTCTATATGTTGAGCTTTACTACATCTTTGCTGCCATATGGTCACAGGGTATACGCTCCATACGGCATCCTATTCATTGTCTTCATTCTTGCTGTTGTTATTACTGCTCTTGTTTCCATTGTTTTGACATACAGCCAACTTTCTGCTGAGGATCATCGATGGTGGTGGAGGTCAGTGATTTTAATATAACATTCTCCTATAGCATTTAATTGGTGGTTGAATTTGAATTCTTGATTATATACTTCCTCACACAGAGGGCTGGAAAAGAGGGAAAAAGAATTGCAGAACTGCTTCCCTCAATTATTACTAGTTTCGCAGTCATTTATATATAGGCTTCAATGCCAGTGATTATGGTCAGCAAACACCACTCTTTTTTCTTTGAAAAAAATCTTGCAGCATGAAAAGCTGCTTGACTCTTTAGCATTCTTGAACAAGAAGACAATGAATCAATTGTTCATTTGCCTTATCATTGCATGCTACATTACTAAATGCTCGTTTACTGAACTTGTTCTGTTCATTTCAAAGTTCAAATTCTCTCTTACCTTTTCTTGGCTATATCTATGCATTCAAATTTACGTTGGTATATTAGCTAACTCTTTGCTAGTTATGAGCATCATCCTTAAAGGTATCTTCTTGCATTGTAGTTATGATGCCATTCACAAGAACAACGTTTTACACCAAGAACTCTGTACTAATTCCCAATGCTTTATTTTGAACAGATCATTTCTTTATGGTGGCTCAAGTGCTCTGTATATCTATGGCTACTGCTTCTACTACTACTTTTATAGGTCAGATATGAGGGGTTTCATGCAAACTTCTTTCTTTTTTGGCTACATGACCTGCCTCTGCTATGGCCTCTTTCTCATGTTAGGTACTGTTCGTTTTCGAGCCACTTTACTTTTTGTGCGCTATATATATGGTTCCATCAAGTGAGTAGTTTGCAGAAGTTTCAACTTTCAAGCCATGTAAAAGAAAAGGAAGTACATATTAATTCATGTGGTCATTTTAAGAATTGAAAGCATTCACGCCAACGCAAGTTGGTTCAGCTGGTGAGGTTGTACCATTTTTTCGATAAAGGTCTTATATTTCAGTTCCGACTTGTAGTCCTAGAATTTGAGGACATACTCTAATTTGTGGCGGTGATCAGACCCGAATTCACCCAAACTCTTTCTTACAAAAAAGAAAAAGAAAAAATAGAAGCATTTACTAGGTTTATTTTTGAAAATGATACTAGTTCTCCTCTCTATTGTAGTTTCATTGGTTAATAAAAAGGCATCCAATTTACCCTTTCTTTAGCTTTCTTCTGCAGCTAAATATTACATGAACTTTTAATTAGGAAATTTTCCACAACCCTATTTACTAGTTGCTTTTCACTTTTCACAATATTGGGTAAATAGTGTAAATGGTTATTAAATTTTTGAGAATTCCCTATCATAATCATTAAACTTTCTTTAGTCAATATGGTCACATAATTAATAAATATATGCATTTTTTGTTACTTTTTTTTGTCACTTAACTAATAAAAAATATTTTTTCACCCCACTGACAATTTTACCTAATCAAAGCAGAAAATTTGAAACAAGTCAATAATCATTTTGTGCCATTAGCTCCACAAAGTTTCAGCATAGTTGCAACATACGTGTAAGTCTCGCCTACTGGTAGATTTAATGGCTACTCCATGCTAGCCTGAAGTCAGTCTGGTCAGCCCAGCCCAAAGTTATGGTTCTTGCACAGCCCATGCTCTCTTCACAAGACTCGTGTGTTTATTTGTTTCTCAAATATTTCTCGTAGACTCATGGGACTAGTTGTCAATCAATAGCCAAGTAAGAAGACTTTAGTGGTTTTGGAATCCCATAAAGCTTTTAGAAAACCAACAATTACTCTTTTTTAACTAATACGACTAACTTCCCCATTCATTAATCTTAGAATAGAAAATGCTTTTTTTTTTTCAATGGGAGACTCCAAATCTTATTAGGAGAGATAGAAAATGCCCTTCAATCTTTTATGCTATAAGTCAAACTTGTAAAGCAAAAAAAAAAAAAGAAAAAACATTGTCAATTTTACTTCCCTTATTTACCAAAGTCTTTCAATTTCTTAAATCTTGTAATCTTCTATTTTTTTTTCCTTATTTAAAAAACACTTTCATTCGTGTTTTGGCGATATTATCAAACTCACGAAAATAAAAAGCTTCAATTTATTATTAAATAAGACCTAAATGTTCTTTTGCCCTCAATTGAAAACAAGAGGGAAATATTAGTTTATTAAAATATTAGTGATTTTTTAATAATTACACTTCATTATCTATACTATACATAAAGTCTCACGAAAGGGTTTGGGGTTAACATTAGGTTAACAGTTATAAAAACTACTTTTACTTTAGCTACCTATAACTAGGCATGGCCATGGTTCCACTTGGAACCGGGAACCGGACCGGAACCGAACCGTTTGGAACCGGACCAGAACCGGAACCAGAACCGTGGAACCAGAACCGTAGTAGAACCTTGGATAAAGGTTCCGGTTCTGGTTCTCTAAAAAATAGAACCAGAACCAGAACCGCCGGTTCCAGAACCGTTAAAAAATTTAAAAATAATTAATATAAAAAATAATAAAAGTAGAGGCATCATGATGACCAAGGTCATCATGATGCCACCACAATTTTTGCTCTCAATTTTTGCTCTCGGGGGCTCCTCCTGACTTGCACAAAGGTCCTCAGGCTCTCAACGGAAGAAAGAAACAAAGCAAAGGATAGAAAAAAAACAAGAAAGGTGGCTGCCTGCTAAATTTGACAAATTGGGGGTTAGGGTGAATTACAAGTTTACAACGTTACAATTCAACGTTGTAATTTTGTCCAATTTTTCAATACAACGTTACAAATTTGGAACGTTACAATACAACGTTCCAAATTTTTAATTTCATTTTGTCCTATAAATAAGACTTGAAATTTTATTTTCTACTACACCAAAATCAATCTTCTCTCTTCCATCTCTAAACTACTCTCAATTTCTTCATCTATTATCTATTTATTATTTCGTACTTTGTAGAATAATAATAAAATTAAAATATGATATTTATTTTGTATTTATTTTTTTACATTTTATTTAAAATTTTAAATATATTGTTATATTCGTATTAAAATTGGTAAGGATAAGAAATTAAATAAAATTGTATATAACCATACGGAACCGGAACCGGAACCAGAACCAGAACCAGAACCATAAGGAATCGAAATCAGAACTATGCGGTTCTGGTTCTACCTTTTTGAAGAACCAGAACCGCCGGTTCTGGAACCAGAACCAGAACCATCTTATATGGTGCGGTTCTGGTTCTACCTCTTTGAAGAACCAGAACCGGCGGTTCTGGAACCAGAACCGTTGGTTCTGGAACCGTGGCCATGCCTACCTATAACTACCCATAAGTGACCCATGACTATTTTTACTTTTAATTATTTAAGTATAGATTAATCTTTCCTATACTGACAGTGTATATACTATCAGCGTTGGATGAATGACAATTATACAAAATTTGAATTTGAAATTCAACTTTTATATACATATCATGAATCGAAAGATGATAGTGTATACACCGTCCGTACAGAAAAGATTTACTCTTTAAGTATATGTTTTCAACATAACTACCCATAAATATTATAATTGCCAATATAAAATTATTTTATAAAAAATATTTAAAACATTGAAGTTTGCTTCGGTAACAAAAAATTTATTTAAAATATATGACCATAAAAATTATGTATTTGTTAATTGCACACACATTGGGTGTGTATTGAGCACTAGAAAACATAAAGTAAAGAATTGAATCCATAGAATAAATTCATTGTTAGAAAATAGTATTTATATTAGAAATGTAAACACAAAGTAGCAATTTTGAAGCAAGCTTGCTTCAAAAAAATAAGGACGTAAAATACTAATTTATAATCGTCAATAAGTAAGTATCCGGCCAAAATCTAATATAAGTCCGGTCAACATGAATGAATTTTTAATAGCTCTAAAATTGATTGACATTAGAAACGTACATATAAATATTTGAATATAATGTAAATAAATTAAATAAAGAATTTTTCTAATGAGTGGTGCACAATGGACACTTGTTAGAATACTTGAAATTCATTTAATCTACCATATATATATATATATATATACTAATAATTATTATTTTCTTTTACATTTATATGCTTTTCCTATTTAATGTTACCTACCCTCCTCTCTATTTATTTATTTTTTCTAATTAATCTTATATTTAAAAAAAATGGCACCTAAAATATATGTTAACAAATATCTAATAGACCTCCATTAGACGTATCTTTAAATAAAATACAAAAACCAAACGTAGAAAGTGATGGCCCTTTCTGCATCTCCTTGAAACATAAACAGATATATGATAAACCCAACGATCCAAAGTTTGTAGCTTCAGTCCAAGTTCATAACAAAGCCCAAATTCCACCTTCATCCACCGGAAGAGGAAAGCAACAGCGCAGGACCAAATTCTCCTCGCACAGCATGTTCAGTACAATCAGCACGTCCTGTACTTGTAGTGAAGTGAATTCCTACTGCCACTGTAAGTCAAATCAGTTGTTATGTTTGAATCCTTTTGTTGATGTAAAAGTTATACTAGGCGAACAATTTGTAAAAATCTATAAAAAAAAATTATGTACATGGATAAAAAACCTCTGTAAGCAACGAATAATGCCAAAAACAACTGTGACGGTGACCTGAGGAACATCTAAAATTTTTTCTTATCAAAAAACAAAAAATGAATTTCCACTGTAGAAAGTATGTTCTGACTTATAATGATCACTATAGGACTGAACTCTGAGAGGCCTCAGGTGTGGCTATTGGGTCAACTCCAGGGATTGCTACCTATAGGATGTGGCTGGCGTTTCTAGGTAGATTAGGGGAAGTTGGGGGGGGGGGGGGTGGCCATCGAGTCAATTCCAGAAAGCCACCTACACGATACAATATGGCTGGCCTTTCGACGAGTGGGGTTGGCCATTGAGTCAACGCCAGTGACTGGTACCTACAGTATCCGGCCGGCTTTTTTATACTTTATATACTGGGTAGATGAGCGGGAGTTTGGGGGAGAGTGAGAGGGGAGAAAAATAGAGCTTAGGAGGACCGAGGGCATCTTTTGTTGAAAACGCAGCGGAAAGCGGTGGCAGAGAAGAGGGAAAATGCCGTGCTTGAACCTGACAACAAACGTCAACCTGGACGCCGTCGACACCTCCGCCATTCGGTCTGAGGCCATCTCTGCTGTTTCCAAACATACCGGCTTGCCGGAGTCGGTATATATTCCAACTCAACCGCCTCTCTTTGATGCGGATTTCTTTTTCCTTCTTTCTTTGTTTTTGTCCTTCCTCTGTTATTTGCCACCGTTTTGTTGCTTCTGTTGTTCCGATAGTTTATTTTGCTGCTGGGTTTTAATTTTTACAGACCTTTATCCTATAATTAAGGGCTTAGGTCCAATATCTCTCTAATTAAATGATTAAGGACATACTAATCTGGGAAACTTAAATTAGGTTTTGTCCTTTGAATTCTGTACTCTTTTTTTTTTTAAGCGTACTCTGGGCTTTTGATAGTTTCCTATTCCATTGGAAACTGCCTAAATTAGTTTATTGGCATTTTCACTAACTTCTTCGACCCTAATGACTTTAACTTCTCCAAGATGGGATTTGCTTGTTACTGATTTTGTGATGTGGAAATTTGGGGGATGCATTAGTCTGATTCTCCATATTTTTGGACTAGATGTCAGTAAACTTCTTTTCAAAATGTTGGGAACATGTTTTCTGGTTTATTGATTTTTGAGAAGACATAGCGGATTCAAATTCTTGAAGGATGTATAAGATTAAGAAGTTTGAAGGGGTGAATTATGGATTATGTCTCACTTCTCACTTATTGGCAGAATTTTCGAAAGATAGAAATGTCTATTTAGGAGGATTGAGTAACATAGCTAATTGATTTGCTACTCAATTTTTTGTTCCCATATCTGTGGGTTTTGAACTGTCCACTGTTAAAGGATTGCATTTAGTATGTTGCAGTGACTGGAACGTTGTCTTGAATTCCATTAGTCGATTATAACATTAATCTCTCGTTGCATCTGTAATCCTGCAGTATATTATGACCTCGTTGAAGGGATCTGTACCCATGACATTTGGTGGGACTGAGCAGCCAACTGCCTTTGGTGAGTTGGTTTCTGTTGGGGGACTCAACCCTGATGTGAACGAGAAGATAAGTGCTGCGATTTCCACCATTCTTGAGACAAAGCTTAATGTCCCAAAGTCGCGTTTCTTCCTGAAATTCCATGACACCGAGGTAAGAATTTCAGCTTTCAAAATTGTTAGCAAAATGGTCAAATCCCAAGCACGTAGATTCTTGTTAGTGCATTCTTCCTTTTAGTTTAGGCCCATCAAAGTCAAGAATCTACAAAATGCTTGCATGCTTTACACCAGTATTATTGGGTTATGTGATCAACTTTTGTTACTCTGAACCATGAATAAACTCTCTCCTCCATTTTATTTTCAAGAAACCTGATCTTTCTCTGAACTTACTGATTTTCCACCAAAATGTGCTGTAAGTGTCTCTTTGCTGCTATGTTTTGCCACTTTGATGATGCTGATGTGCTGGGAGTTTAATTTTTGCAGGGTTCCAACTTTGGCTGGAATGGGTCCACCTTCTAGGTCCCTTGTTTGTATGTTCAAAGAGTATTTGCTATGTTGAGCTTGTTGACAACACGGCTCAGAATTTGTAAAAAAAATACATAATGTTTATGTGGTAGTGCTTGGATTATGTATGTTCCAAGCTGATTCTGTTGATGTTTGGAGGTGTATGCTTAATATGCTGGATATTTTGTGATCCTTTTGAACAATCACTAGATACTCCATTTGAAGTAAACTGGTGCAAAATTTTCAGTCTTGTGGCATTGATTTACAGTACAAAAAATTCACATATTGCCAACCATTTTATCATTGATCCATTTGCCAAAAAGCTGCAAAATTATGGAAAAATATACAGCTGACCAGAAGTGAAAGCAACACTGGATCCCAGTTGAAATTACATCTGAATCAAAATAGGTTTGGCCTATCATATGTTGACAATTCAATATACCTAGAAAGATCTCTAGTTGAAGACTTTCCTAATTATCTGGATATAAGATGATAGAAATTGGAAAGAATATTCTTCAGATGCCTGAGCCTACACCTGGAAAAGGATAATCCAGGAGTTATCACCATATTAGTTTGGTCTTGCCTGTTTTGCATATTATCTTTCTATAAACATTGCTTTCAAGCCAGTCAGCCATATGAAAGCACCGGATACAGGCTCTTAATTAGATGATAATTGGATGAAAATGATAGATTATGTGATTACAACAATGGAAAAAACTGATAAAATAAATGAGGATCTAACTTCTTATTCTCTTATATATATATACATATATATATATATATGTATATATATATATATTCCTCTAGACCCTCTATCTGATTAATCTTATGTTGTTAATCTGTTCTACAGATATCTCTCAATATACTCTTCCCATTGCCTAGCAATATTGAGTGTGTTTGGATAACAAATTATTTAGTCAAATATATTTACTTACATCACCATTACAATTTCCAATACACCTTTTTATCTTGTCAATTATCTTTTTATCTCACATACATCACATCACAAAAAGTGCTATAGTAAAAATATCTCAAATAATTTACAATGCAAACAAACTCGCGCGATGCTTTCTTGCTCTCAATATTACATGATAAAATAGCACTAGACGAAAGCAAAACAGAAGAACTAATTAAGGTACAATCTGTGATAAAACTACAACGGATCTACTGATTGTTTCCGTTCGTTGCCACACTATTGCGCATCATCCAACCTGAAGTTCTATTTTTCCGCACACACGATTATCCAATAAATAAAAGTCACTCATGCAGTGTTTATCGTTTTCTATCCAAAAATAAATAAATAAAAAATGTTACTCGTTCACCATACATATATAGCTTTTGTCTTACTTTTGGTTACATACATGAATAAAGGGTGGGTAAAAATTGCTGCAACAGATTTCATATTTAATCAAGAAATGCAGTTTTCCAGTTGGGGGTTTTGATCGACAGTATCAACGTACGCCTCTGAATTTTTATGCAGGCTGTCTGGTCATGCGCGTATCATTATATGGACTAGAGAAATAATACGTAGTAGCTTTTAATGCTACTATTTGCTTATGGGATGTTGCTGCGGTATGTTTAGATGTCAAAACAGAGGTGTGGAAAGTTAAGGGAAAAGACATTCAAGCATTTGTGGCCACAAACGGTAGGGGAAGTGTGTTGGCTGGGCACGTGGAAAGGGCTTTTGTGACGTGCAACCGGAAGAGGTATTGGGCATTGAAGGGGACTCCAACTGCGCATGTGAAATGTGGAGGGGGCGAAATTAAGCAACTGGCAAAGTGAGGGTTTGTACGCGAAAGTATAGCAGGGAAAAAAGGCGCGAAGCTTACTGGATAAGCTAAACAGTGTAGGCGTATTAGAAAGGAAGAAGCGCCAAAACCGGAGTAGGAGGAATAGCAGAAGATAGGGATTTGTTATGGAGCTGGCGGCCGAAATAGATGCTTCGGATATGCAGTGGGATAGTGAAGGAGAAAGCGAAAATGTAGTATCGCTGATGCATGAGAGTGGAACACCTTCAAATTATAAAAGTTGCAGCAGTGAAAGGAAGGCCATTCGTCGGACGGTGAAAACAATGATAAGCCACTCAACTCATTCCGTGAAGAATATGATGGATTGGCTCTCGGATGAGCAGCGGCAGGCTGTCAGAGAGTTTGGATTCTGGTCAATTTTGAATGTGAAGGGAGTAGAGGTTGACGAAGAGATGTTGAACTGGCTGGTGGATAACTTTGACGTAGATCGGAGGACACTGAACGTTCATGGGTACTGTCTACAGGTGACAGCCGAGGATGTGGAATATGTACTTGGCTTGAACAGCCGTGGGAAAGATATTGAAAGCGAAAAGCGAAGGCAAGAGATGGATACAGAGTTGGAAAGAGAATTGAATATCAGAATAAATAGCGGTGAAATTGTAGTGGAGGAATTGAGGCACAGTATATGTAGTTTGCATAACGAAGGCTTAGAATTTAAAGTGAAGTTCGTACTGTTTGTTGTTGGTAGGTTGTTAGCACCAAGTTTGGATGACACAGTGAGCCGGGATCTGGTGGCTGTAGTGGCTACAGTGGAGAACATGGAAAATTTGAACTGGTCGAAATTCATACTAGACAATTTGGTGAAGAGCATCCGTGATAGAGACGGCAACAGAATAGCGGGATGTGCACTTTTCTTGATGGTATAAGAAAGACGCACCATTTTGTATTAGAATAGGAATTGCTGGAATAATAAAATTAAACTTTGATATAAAGGACCTGTAAATGATGGTAGGCGTTTTTGTCCGTGCAAATTTACTATCTGGAACGATTCTATATCGAGGGTGAGGACGAGTTTCGCAAGTTCCAGCCGAGAGGGCCGAGGCTAAGATTTTGGGGAAGGTACGAGATTAATGAAAGCGTGCGAATATTGAGGAGGAATCACATATTTGAGGGGGAATAGGTAATCTAAAATTCTTTCATGTGAATTGTTGTTGAAATTGCAAGCTGCATTTTGTGACGTTACTAGTAGTACAAAATTGAAGGCTTGTAGTGACAGGGCAATGTGCAGTTTTATAATAACATAAGCTGTAGAGAAGACATTGATAGAAGACTGATTGAAATTGAATGTGGTAATAAATATGTGAATGATAGTATTGGTAGAATGAAAGCAATGATTGAATGTCATTTTGAAAGGCTGAGGAGCATGTATGAAAGTAGAAGGGTGTGCAAAATAAACCGGACACTTGGTGTGGAGGGTGGACAGAAGGATGATTGGCATGGTAATGTTAAAAGAGGGAGTGATTTACATAAAATTAGTCCTACAACGCCAGATGTTAGGGCCAAAAACAGGAGTGAAAATGATAGAGTAACTACGAATAGTACTGTAATGGGTGAAAAGAGTGCATCGAAAATTACAAAGTGAAGGAGTAGAAAGAGACTAAGGATGGACAATACAGAAAAGCCTGTGTGGGAAGACAAACAAAACAGAAGGCAAGGTAAAAGAATAAAGGTATGCATCGGTTTGTGCCAAGATATTTCGTAGTATTAGAAAAGTAAAGTATAAATTGTAGTTTTATGTACAGATGGATAGCAGTGGGATGAACGAGTGTCAAACGAAGATGGTTGCTTTATTGGCAAAGGTTACTAAAGTATGGAAAAATATAAATAATGAAAGATGACATATTTTTGTGGTAGCAGAAAATGAGGCTGGCATCTATCGGTGAAAAATTGAGTGAGGGACAAGCAAAAATACTGAAATTCTTATTTGACACTCAGTTGTCGCAAGGATATGTACTGGATCATGGATTTATTAAATCAACAGTTCTATTTTGTTTTATCCTTTATTTGAAATTGCAATGGTAAAGGGGACAGAAAAGTATTTGCAATTATAAAGTTGACTAAATATGTAGTATGATTATCCCCATAGGGGAAAGGGCATAGGAACGAAAATCTTGGAAGCAGTTAAAATTGGTTTACAAGTGAGCATAAAACTTACAATTTGTGTGCTGTCAATCATGCATGCTTATATAAAATGTAAGGGTAGGTAACATGCTTGCATATAGAATAAAAGGTAAGTATTCTAGAAGTTTGAGAATAGAACTACAATGATAACTCAATGACCCTTATGGTGAGTACATAACCGCCTTAGGCTAACTCAATGACCCTAAGGACCGATTGAATCATTGAAACCGTGATTGCTGGTTGTATTAGTGAGGAAGAGCGAACCTACTCTGGCCGTTTTAACTCGAGTCATTGAAAATGATGATATCAAGTTTGTAGATTATGAAACCTAATACACATAGGGAAAAGATTAATGTACCCTGTTGTACTGACAGGGAAGTACTGGTGTCAATTAAGCGGTAGACAGCAAATCGGGATGCAATGGGGTCCTTGCTTCCTGAAAAACCCATGGCATGTGATGTGAGTAAATCGAGGGATTGAAATTGGGTGGTGTTATGTGGACTGTTTCATGGAGGACGAAGTGATATGACTTGAGTTTGGTGCAGATATTAAGTTGCTATTGTGCGATGAAAACAGTAAGGCAACAAAGGCGTGCTGTAGATCAGTCAATTCGATGGTGGTTCATGCCAACTTGGTTTCAAGTACAAGTGTTCGGCCAAAGTTGGGGGTGTGAGTACGTATATTCATATTAAAATGTCATATTTTACTGTCGTGTTGTAGCAAGAGATTTTGGAGTTCAACAAATCAGCAGACGAGCTCTACTGTACATATCTACAGGAATGTAAAGTAGGAGGTAATATAAAAAAGTGTGAGAAGGAACGAGAAACTGCCTTGTTATGTAGCATAATGGAATAGATACAGATTCCCATGATGATGACTAACTAACCGCTGCTATGCTTCAGATATTTGTGCCAATGTGGCATGATGAGCATTGGTATATGTGTGTGGTAGACATGGCAAGCGAAGAAGTATTAATTTATGATTCAATGAGAGGACACGAGCAAACAGATATGAATAGGCGCTTGTAAATGCACTGCCCAAAAGCACTCCATTCAAATCAAGAATAAGAAATTTCTTCTTTGAATCATTAGCGGACGCAAGTTTTGGCGGGCTTTTTGTTACCCTTATACCTTCGACTGGGAAAAAATTGAAGGCATACAGCATTTCAGCACATGGATTTTGCATGTGAGATCAAATTTGAATGTCATAATGCGAAATCAAACAAGAGGAATTGGAAAGTGTAAAGCAAAGTTCTGGGGTCAAGAATTTATTACAATGTCGTGAGCAGCAGCCCTGCAATAATGGAATAGCGGGAGTAGAA